TTACATTTAAAAATTTCTTTAAAAACTTCTTTAAGTATTCCTTTTAAAATATCTTTAAAAACAATATAAAATTCATTTCCTATTCCATCTATACCTGGACTTTTCTTTTTATTTAGTTGATTTATTGCAATTTCAATCTCTTCTTCTTCTATTTCTCTGTCACATTCTTTGTTGTCATCTTTTTCTAGTTTTACTTTTATATAATTTAGAATCTTCCTTTCTTTTTCTTCATCAATACCTTTTGCTTTAAATAGATCTTCATAAAAATGCTTGATTTCTTCTAGTATTTCTATGTTTCCTTTCGCAATTTTTCCATTCCTCCCTTTAATTTCCTTTAGTATTCCTGCTTTACCTCTTTGCTTCTCTAAATCAAAAAAGAATTTCGTGCATTTTTCCCCTTCTACTGTGTATTTAGATCTGCTCCTCAACATTGCCCCCCTATATTTGTCTTCTTCTAAATCTCGTAATTTTTGCTCTATTTCTTTGATTTTTTCAATATCTTTATTTTCCTTGTTTAATTCTTTTTCTAAGGATCTTTTAACTTCTTTTTCTGTATACTTTTTACATCTTTGTAGTACTGCGCAATATTTGATTGTGTATTTCCTGATTTGATATTTTGTGTTTTCCCACCATATCCTTTTATCTTCATCATACATTCTATTTTCTTTTTCATTCTCTATTATTTCTTTGACTTTTTGAACATAATCTTGATTTTTTAAAATGGTTGTGTTTAAAATCCAAGTCCCTGGTCCTTTTTGTATGTTTTCTATATTCACTTTAAAATGCAAGAGCTTATGATCACTAAAACTGTTCTCTTCATACTGTATGTTTTCTATAAAATTTTCAATATTTCTAGTACATAAAATAAAATCTATTCTCGTTTGACATATAAAATTCCCCACTATTTGTCTCCTTGAAAACTCTCTTTTTTCTCTATTCCTTTCCCTCCATATATCTATTAAACTATTTTCCTTTATTAACTCATTTAGTTGCTTTCTTCCTATATCCGATTTAAAAACCATTCCATCAGCCATATCTTGTTTTCTAAAAACAGTATTAAAATCTCCCATCATTATTATTTCTTTAAAACCTTTTAATACTTTATTTAAAACCTCAAAATATTCTTTTTTGTCTTTATCTTCTGTTGGTGCATGTATATTTGCTATTATTAATTCATGTCCTTCATAGTTCACCTCTATTACTAAACATTTTCCATAATTATCCCTATACACAATTCTTTTAAAGTTTAAAACATCTTTCCTTATTAAAAAAGCAACACCTCTTCCAGATTTACCATCACCATTATTATATATTATATCCCCTTGCCACAACTTTTTAAAATCATTCATTGCATGTTCTTTCCAGTTTGTTTCCTGTAAACCTATCACCTCCTTGTTTTTACATTTCTCTCTTATTTTCTCAAATTTATCTTTTCCCATCAGTCCCCTTGCATTAAAAGACACACAGTTTAAAACCATTAAAATAAATAAAAATGAAATTAAAAACCTACACATCCTCATTGTCCTTCATCTCCTTCCAACGCTCTCAACCAACAACTCCTTCCGTTAAAAGAGACAAAGATTAAAAGCATTTTAAAATAGATAAAATATTTTAAAAACATCATTTTTCTTCATCTTCTTCCAGTCCCCTTAACACTTCATACCTATTTACATATTTAGCTCTGTTCTTTGTTAAAACTTTTTTCTTTGCCATGTCCAAGTTTGGTTTTACCTTAAAAGTTCTTCTTCTTAAAAATCCTCTTTCCACTTTGTTCTTATCCACATTTTCCATCCTTGTTTCTTCATCATTTGCCATTCCTTCAGCTTGACCAGTCTTTCTTAGTTCCTCTTTTTCCACCATGCTTAAAAAAGTTTTGAAACTGTCCGATATTTCCATTTGTGACCACTGTCCATCCTGTCCTGATAACTGTACTTCATTCTCTTCATTTTTGTTTTCTCCTTCCGTTTTTTCATTGTTATTCATTTCCTCCTCCATTGTCCTTTCTATTGCTTCATTATCTTCTTCCCTTTTGTTGTTTTCTTCATGCACCTGCCGGTCCTGATCTTCTCCTCCTCCTTCCTCTCCTTCCATCCAGCATTCACACTTGTTTAAAAAATTTTTACATTCCGGGCACCTGACAGTGATACAGTGTCTTGCAAAATGCCCCCTTTCCTCGCATTTGTAGCACTTGAATTCTGGACAGTCTTTCAGCATGTGTTCCGGGCTCATGCACAGCCTACAGGTCTTCACCTGATGGCTGTGCATCACCCTGAAGTACTGCGTTCCTTCTGCTGTCTCCATTTTTGTGCTGTATGGCAAGGATGCCACCTCTTTAGGGAACCTCACTTTAAGGAACCTTGTTCCGTCTTCTATGTCGGTACCCGGATAAAACCTTCGTTTAATTTTAGTTATGGGACAAACTCCCCAAGTATCTAATTTTTCCAGAATTTCCTTATCTTCCAGATAGACCGGCAGGTGCATGAAGGAAACAACAAAATCCCTATTATGAAGCTTTTTAATTTCACAGTTCACCCCATTTATCATCAGTTTGTCAGTCAATTGTTCACATAATTCTTCTGTTTCCATTGTTAGTTCGTACTCCTTCCCTTGTCTTGGTCTTAAAGCCAGAATTTTTCCATGCCCACACTTTTCAATCACCGCTTTAATAATATCTTCTGCTCTCACTTCCTGTACATCTTCCACATTAATGATAACTGTTGCCTCCTTTAAATACTTTCTTCCACCTACTTGGCCTCGATCGTGCAGATTCGCACTCTATAACATCAGAAAGATCCGACCCTTCTTATCTGAACATGCAGCTCAACTCCTTGTTCAAACTCTTGTTCTCTCCAAACTGGATTACTGCAACTCTCTACTAGCTGGGCTTCCAGCTAACTCTATCAAGCCTCTTCAGCTGCTCCAGAACGCAGCAGCACGAGTGGTCTTCAATGAACCTAAACGAGCACATGTCACTCCGCTGCTAGTCCGTTTGCACTGGCTGCCAGTTGCTGCTCGCATCAAATTCAAAGCTCTAATGTTTGCCTACAAAGTGACTTCTGGCCTTGCTCCTTCTTATCTGCTCTCACTTCTGCATATATATGTGCCCTCCAGAAACTTGCGTTCTGTGAATGAACGTCGCCTCGTGATTCCATCCCAAAGAGGGAAGAAATCACTTTCGTGAACGCTCACGCTTAATCTGCCCAGTTGGTGGAATGAACTCCCTAACTGCATCAGAACAGCAGAGTCACTCGCTATTTTTAAGAAACGACTAAAAACTCAACTATTTAGTCTCCACTTCACTTCCTAATCTGCAATTGCCTCTCTGGATATCACACTAACTGTACCCAAAAAAAAAAAATAAAAATACTAATACTAATACTTTCCTTCTTAGACTTTACAGACCTGAAACTTGCCTATAGCACTTGTTCATTGTTGCTCTTATAGTTTTGTAAATTGCTTCCTTGTCCTCATTTGTAAGTCGCTTTGGATAAAAGCGTCTGCTAAATGACTAAATGTAAATGCAAAATGACGTTTGCCTGAAAAACTTATGCTGAAAAAAGAGCACTTTAAAAGCTTATTTGACAAAAATCATGACTACATATTTTTTATGTTACTTTAACTTATTTAAATAGGTTAATCATGTTCCAACTACATTTTTTTCCATTTTTCAAAGTTTAACCTAATATTTTAGTCAGTTTGAATAATATAAGTTTGAATAGAAAAGTTAAAAACAGTGTAGTTATAACCTGTAGTCTGTTAGACTTGCTGCATGTTTATTTAGGTCAATGTCTGTTAATGCTCTTCTCTTTCTGTACTATCAAACAGACTCATATATATATAATCTATGCTTTACGTTATAAATCAGCTCCTCCTAACATTCGTCATGTGGTATATCGCACACGATAGCTTTTTCTTTATCTGGAGATTATAAGTGTTATAATCTACTTAGGAGTGTTAAAGATTTTTTTTTAGAAAGTTATTGTTCATGCAGGAAAAAATAATGACAATTTTATATTGTATCTTAACCGTTTTGTTTTGTTTTTTAAAGAGCAATATACTTGTTTGGTGTTGGATTAAACAGATATGCGAAATATGTCTGGTTGCATAATGGTAAGAAATCTGGAGACTGGAGTGTTTTGGCTCAAGATAGCCTAAATATATATATTTTAAATGTTTCCTTGGAAATTACCGAAAGACAAATCATTTATGTAATACTGTTATGTAGAGGGTTTCTGTGGGGTCTTAAAAAGTCTTAAATCTCAAAATCCAAATCTTAGGCCTTAAAAAGCTCTAGATTTACTGTGATACTGTGTTGTTGGTCTTAAATCTTTTTAAACAGGTTTTAATTTTCTTTTGTTCATGTATTGCTATCCAATCTGTCCAAACCCCCATACAATCACCAACAATCCATCTCTATGAAACTGTTAACTTTTTTATTTAAAAAGGTAATGTTTAACTCTATTTATCATAATGGTTTAATTATTTTCCTTACAATGACATTTGTTTCTCCATGTACTGCTGAGGACACTGACCTGGACAGATTGTTGTCCATAGATTTACTTTATTATAGTTTTTAAATATTTTAAAACATTTGTTCACTTTAGTATTATTTTAAAGAAGTTTATGTTGGGGAAAAAGCTGTATGGATACGAGTAGAGCTTGCTTGTTTTTACACAATATTTAAAACATTTAGTTAAGAAAAAAAATCTAAAATAATTTAATTGTTTATTATTAATGTATTATTATCATTAAATTATTATTATTATAAAAAAATTTTGATAGGTCAAATAAATTTCTTTTTCATCTGGGTAATTTGAAAAAATCCTTAGTCTTTAGTGCTTTATGAGTCTAAAATTTCATTCAAAATGGTCTTAAAATGTCTTAAAATGGTGAAACCTGTAAGACAAAAGTAAGAAGTCAGTGTATAATCAGTAACTGGTCACATAATAAATAAAAACAAGACATGATGTTGATTTTATAATGCTTTAATAATTCACCAGTATATAAGAAACACACATGACATATATAGTGCATTTGCATATGTGTATAATAATAATATAATGACAATACATTCAAAACATTCATGACAAATTAATTAATCAACAAAGGCACTCATATGTAAGTTGCCCTGCACTATTAAAGAAGATGACAAGGCAACAATATAATACAAAGAGCAATCCAATGCAGCAGTCCTCAGGTGTGCTAGGGTTGCTGAGTTGTTTGTCCTGTCTTACTCCATGACCTGAAACATAAATCAGTGTTTTTTGTCTAAATACATTACATTTTGGACAGAGTTTAAAGGATTAGTTCACCCATAAATGAAAATCCTGTTTTTAATCACTCATTCCAATCCCCTAAGACTTATGCTCATCTTCAGTAGCTTTTTTTTAGGTGCACAAATATGTTCTCGGACCTTGGTATGATTACAGTTAATGTCACATGCAATGTTTTAACCTTTTTTCTGGACTTTGAACACCTCAGGACTGTTCCTGTCTAAGAAGGATGAGAGAACTCCTGGATTTGATCTAAGACAGAGGTGCTCAACCCTGTTCCTGGAGATCTACCTTCCTACAGAGTTCAGCTCCAACTCTGATTAAGCACACCTGAAGCAATTAATTAGCCTGAACAGCACTTGATAATTACAGGCAGGTGTGTTTGACATGAGTTGCAACTGAAATCTTCAGGAAGGTGGATCTCCAGGAACAAGGTTGAGCTCTCCTGATATCTTAGTTAGTGTTCTGAAGATGAAAGTCTCAGTGGGTTGGAACGACATGAGGGTGAGTAATTAATAACAGAATTTTCTTTTTTGGGGGGTTAAGTAATGCTTTAAGACTTAAGATCAGCTGTGTCCAAACTTTTTTTATTGAGGGCTAAAAACCAGTCTTGAATGAGCGTGTTGGACCAAAGTATACCAAACTCCTTACCATAAAGTTGCCATTGGCTATTTCCTAAGTTATTCAACATTTAAACAAAACTAGAGAGCATTGATTTATATTAACTAATGCAGTATTTATTCGTTCAGTAAAAACAATCCCATTTATAACAGAATGGAGTTACACTAGTCAAGCTGCACCTGTTTTTTGCCTTGATGTGCATCGCTGATGTGTTCCTCTATTTATTGAGTGACTATTTATATTTAATATAACATTTAATCGAATCTTTTACTTTCAGTTTGTGTTTCTGTTGTCATTCTCACTCTCTATTTAGATGGGATGGTGGGCCAAATCAAAGGGCAAATCAAGTTATCAAAGGCTAACTTTGGCCTGCAGACTCTGGTTTAGACACCTCTGCTTAAGATGATCAACAGAAATGAAAGCCATTTAGCTTTAGGCTTCATACCTTAAACCAGTTATGGAGATGCATCTCCTGCAGAGCGAGTCTCTCATCTGGGTTTGGCTGTAGACAACCGCAGATCATCTGGCAGCATTCTGTGCAGAAAGAAGAATGGGGTGTTTAAGTTTAATAGTTTATAGATCTTAATCTACAATGCCAAAGTGCGTTAGTACTTCCGATTCAGTTGCCTATGGGAGAAATGACTTGGAATAATAAATGGTCAAACTGCTCGCTCTACACACAAGTGGGCTCATGACTGTACATAAAAAGTAGAATGATATAATAAGACAATGTTGGTGTGCAACATTAACCAGCATAGCAAGCAGTTTTTAATGTCTTAAAATTAATGGAAGTGAATAAGATTGGAAGTCTCGAACCAAAAAATTACAATAGTTGCACACGCTCGTACGTCAAAAATAGTTATAAGACCTGCTCTCTTCACACTTTGATGAAGCTCTCACCTATTGACAGGCCAGGGCTAGACCAAAGATAGTCCCTGATCAAGGAGTGGTCGGAGACAGTGGGTAAAGCCCCACACATCAATGCGAACAGGACGATCCCTAGAGACCAAACAGTCGCTGGCTGTGCATGGTACCTGCCATGCAATTCATACTCCGGAGGGAAATATTTTCTTGTGCCTAGAAAAAAAAGATATCATCCAATGGTTTATATGTTTAAACAGAATCGTCAGTGTGTGGTTTTTATGGAAACAAAGTTCATAACACTTACCACAGAAGACTTTGTAGCCGGAACCCTTTACAATCGCACCACAGCCGAAGTCTATTAGCTTTACCTCCAAAGTGTCTGGATTCACCAGGAGGTTTTCAAGCTTTATGTCCCGATGGAAGACACCGCGATCAAAGCAAACGCTCGCAGCATGAATGGCCTGCCGCATTATATGGCGTCCCGTCTTCTCATCAAGAGGTCCATCCTTGTGGCGTAAGAAGTGAAGCAAGTCCATACAAGGTATGGGTCGCTCCATGATTATAATGTAGTGGGCATCATTGTCCTCCCAGTCTAGGAGTTGGATTATCTCGGGGACGTAGGGACCATTGTTGGCCATAATTGTCAGGGCAATTTCTGCAGGGAGGGGTTTGTCATAACCAGGCTAAAAGAGAGAAATGATGACAGTTAGACAGTTTCCTGAAGGTCTTTTAATAAAAACTCAATTGTAATCGGACATTAACATACATATAAGGCTCTGAAACAATCTAATCAAGTGGATTTATCTAAATACTGTTGTAAATGGAGTCTTTAGCTTATCTACTTTTTTTTCTTCAGATATTTTATGTACACTGTTAAAAATTGTCCCGTTAAAAAACAGTAAAATACTGGCAGCTGCAGTTGCCAGCAATGTACTGTTATTTTACAGTATGTTGCTGTAAAAATACATGGACTACATTGATTTACACAATACTCAAGTGAACTCATTTTGCTCACTGAAAGCAACTGCCTCAACTTGGTCAACTGCTGAATGAGTTTATGAAGTAATGTGCTATATATGCTTAGAAGCATACTTATAATGATGACTTATTTTAGTTAGTTAGAAAAGTTTGGTTTAACTCTAATGTCTTATTTTTCACAACAGCACACATACATGTAAATCTGGAATCACCAGAGAGATTCTGACAGCATCAGCCACTAAACAGCCGCTATCTTTAAATAGAGAAACATGCAGAATAACATCAGCAGCTCATTGTTCATCTTTAACTCATACACTGGCTCTACTCTCCTCCACAACGGTGACACACAGAAGAAATTAGCTTCAGGTTTTACAGTAAAATACTGTTTTTTCCTTGATTTAATGGTAATCTACTGGCAGCTGTGGTTGCCAGCAATCTACTGTTTTTTTACAGTCTACTTCTGTTGTGTAAATTAACAGTATATTACTGTTAAAATACATTTTTACACTGTTTTTACCTCTCACACCTTTAACCCTTTAAACCCCAGAGCATATACTTCAGTTTTTATTGAAGTGTCCACACTACTGAGTGTTCAAGAAACATGTAGCAAAGCTGAAGTAAATTCATTAATTAACTGACTAATTAAATGATAATTGAGGATTAACAATGAACAAATGAAGAAATACTGAAGGGAAAAAACAAGAACAGAACATACAAAACTTTAGTCACAGCTTTATAATGAAATAACCTGAAGAACAACAAATGATTAAATCATTTAAATGATCAGCGGATGATTAAACAACTCTACAAACATCATCACCAGCTACACTTATTACTTAATACATGTATTTTTGTATAACATTTACTAAAGTTCTTCTTGAGAAAAAGTTAAAGTTTTACGTCACCATCATGGAGAACAGAGTTTGCTTTAGTTGGGCTCTTAGCCCTGTCACTTATAACATTTATATATCTTGGCTGCTGCAATTGTTAAGACGTTTGTTTAAAAAGCTCCTTTGTTGAGGCAAGCCAGCCAAAAACCTAAATAAGATCTGGTGATGTTCATGTTGCTATTAAATGGCAGAGTCTGTTCTCATTTAGTATAATAAAGTTTACTGTTCCTATTCAATGTTAAATCTATTGTTTTATATTATATGTCTATATATGGCAATGATTTCTGGAAGTTTTTAAGAATATCTTGGACAATAACACTGCTCTATGGTGTAAATCGCACTCAAAGAGACATCAATAATCAGCGTATGAACCTCAATAATGGTGACAACTAACAAAATTAACAGTTTAACTCACAAACAGGCAACTGAAAGTCTAAACATAAACAACAGCAGAATCAAACACAAATAAAGAAAACTGTTAGACCATTATACAACATTTATTTATACCGCAATGCATGCTGGGATATTTGTACAGTGCCACTCCCAGCATGCATTGCAGCATGAAACATTTGAGATGTTACCATTGTTGAGATACAAGGTCAGATTCATGAGGTCTGAGTGTGTATTTGTCATAACTGAACTGTTTTTGTATGTTATTTCTTAACTGTTAATAATTATGGAGGTATCTTTTCTGTTTCCACTTCTCATTAATTAAATTAATACCTGCAACTAAGCATAAAATCTATTGCATGAGGCCCTTCATCCAGATTTATATCAAAACATTTATCAGAACTAATTTCAGACTAATAGATTTCTCTATTTATTGACTTTTCAACTTGATTGCTATAATATAAGCATTTTGTTACCTCTTTATTATAGTAATTGGAGAGTCTGAATTAATAAGTTTAAGGGTGAAGAGCCCAACTAAACCAGCCCCTCACTCCATTACGGTGACACAAAAAAACACCCTAATTTCTGTTGGATCTCAATGAGAATAGTATGGAAGTCAAATCAGTCAGTAATAAGTGTGTGTCTGCTGTTGTTTGTGGAGTTGTTTAATGATCCTCTGCTGAGACTGAAGCTGTTTTATTTTATTTTATTTAATGTTGTAACTCAAGTCACTGTTTGCGTTTCTTGTTTCTTTTCTTCAGTAATTGTAATTATTAACAGCAGGTGTTCATCAGTGTCTGAATTCACTTATTAGTGTTCATTAAAACTGTCAGGTGAACTATATTAGTTAACTAGTGTATGAAATAGTGAACAAGGACACAAAGTGTGATTTCAAACACAGACTTCAAAACATCGAATCTGAACTCTGTTAGCTCACAGTTTTCTGCAGTTGGTTACTTTGTCGAAAACAAAAATGTTATCCAGAAAGCACTGTTTTAACAGAATATTACTGTTTTAGTGAAAAAACATTATTTTACCGTAGAATCTGACCGTTTTTTAACAGCAATTTTTTACAGTGTAGTAGGCCAATAGTTTCACAAAACCATTTTGTTTTCAATTCTGTTTTAATTTCTACATGATAAAGTCTAGTTTAGATGTAAGCTGCTCGTTCTTCATGAGTGCTGTCATCTTTGTTTAGATCATTATTCAATTACAGTGGTTACCTCTAATTTTAAATGGAAAGCACAAAGCAAAACAAAAGCCTTACTTTATTCAATTCAATTCAATTCAGCTTTATTTGTATAGCGCTTTTACAATGTAGATTGTGTCAAAGCAGCTTCACATAAATGGTCATAGTAACTGGAACAGTGTGGTTCAGGTTTTAGTGTTTAAGTTCAGTTCAGTTTAGCTCAGTTCAGTGTGATTTAATCATTACTGAGAGTTCAAACACTGAAGAGCAAATTCATCGATGCGTAGCTCTACCAATCCTGAACCATGCGAGGCAGTGACGACAGCGGAGAGGGAAAAAAAACTTCACTTTACTTGCTTACGTACTTACTAAAAGGACATGTTTTCATTTACTATATAACGTCTTCAATCCCATTTTGTCCCATCCTAAGAAAATCAAATCTAGAATCAAATCAAATCATGACATTGAATTGTATCTGGACTACTCACCACTGTGAGTTCCTTCATCTTCGGTGACTTTACAGTACATTTCACAGCAACCTGATCAATAAAGCAAAGAATTAGCAGTTAGCATGTGGTAGAAGTTTTGAATAAAGCAATGATAAAGCAATGTTTTGTTAGTGAAAGCACCTCAAGTCCATCCCTGCGGCGTGTGGCTTTGTAGACAGAGCCGAATCCACCTTTGCCCAGCTTGTCACCCATTTCATAATGCCTTAAAATCGTGTCTGTTAAAAAATAAACAACTGCAGTCAGTATGATGTACAATTTTAGATATATATATTTTGTATTCACGTTTGTAATACTAATAACAATTCCTATCTTACCATTTTCTGTGTCGTCCTCCTCTAGCTGCTCAGCAGCAGGGACATGGTCTTCTGAAGCAGAAGCTGTAATACGAATCAAGTCACCGTTGTGTAAATAGCACTTTATATAATACAGATTATCATGTTTTTTAATTAGTCTATGAATGTAAAGTCACATATTTAGACTTATTTTAATTTCATCCCACACAGAAATCTGATATATGTCAATTTGATATACTGTATGTACTGTGTGTGTGTGTGTGTGTAGCCACAAATATACATATACATATATTATTATAGCTAATATATTTGTACATATTACATATTTGCTTATTTTTTACTACTTATTTTTGCATATATGTACAGATTTATAATGCAAATGGTTGAAAAAACAAATATAAACTGCCATTTTTTGCAATCATTTAACATATATGACACATTTTACATGCAAAATCCAAAAATGAACTTGTATGTCATATTTGTAATTTGCATATATTTTCATATATCACATTTCTATAGAGCATTTTGAGGGATGTAAACATTAACAGTGGTTCGAACATATATCCTGTTTTACATTTTTAATTTCCACAGCTTCCGAGAATACAGAAATTTCCACATATTGATAAATATTGCTATGATAGCTGTTTTAACGTTAAATTATGACTGGATTTGCCTTTTATTAAGGTTATGAAATAGTTTGACATCAAGCAGGAATTGTTAATGGGCCAATGATATTAATACATTAAAATGGTATAAACAAGACCAGTTATAAAAATATTACTTGATTAGAGATTTGGCCATTAAACAATACTTGTATCATAATCACTTGTGAGTGTGATTTTACCTCTACTAGACTTCCAGACGTCCTTTTCTTCTTTACTGGCTTCAGGAACCTCATCAGGCCCAATGGGTGTTACAATGGGCTGACTAGAAACTTTTTGCTCTAACATGGCTTCATGGTAGTTCTTCGTGGCCTGGACCAGGTCGTATT